GTGGGAGATACGCATTTTCTTCCTATGACTTTAACTGTGAACCATTTGGAATTTTTTAAAGACAAGATGCTGGAATAAATTCCTGCTGTGGTGTAGAAATTGGTGCCATCCTTATTTTCTCTAGTCTTTTGTCTGGAATGCTCTATCCAGGGTTGTTGTTGTTAGTTGCCATTTAGTCGGTCCAACTCATAGCAACCTTATGCACAGCAGAACAAAACACTGTTCGATCATGGGCCAACCTCAGTATTGTTGCCACGCTTGAGTTCATTGATGCTGCCACTTGGCCAATCCATCTCACTGGGGGTCTTCCTCGTTTTCTCTGACCCTCCACCTTAACAAAAATGATATCCTTCTCCAGCGACTGATCCCCCCCTGACAATATGTCCGAAGTGTGAGAGACGAAGTTTGGCCATCTTGGCCTCTAAGGAGCACTCTGGCTGCATTTCTTCCAACACAGATCTGTTGGTTCTTTTGGCAGCCCATGGCACTTTCAATATTCTCCTCTAGAACCATAACTCAAAAACATCAATTTTTTACAGTCTTCCTTATTTACTGTCTAACTTTCACATGCATATGAGTTTATTGAAAATACCATGGCTTGAGTTAGGCACACCTCAGTCCCCAAGCTGACATCTTTGCTCTTCAACACTTTAAAAAGATCTTGTGCAGCAGATTTGCCTAATGCAGTACATCGTTTGATTTCTTGACTGCTGTTTCCATGAGTATTGATAGTTGATCCAAGAAGAATGAAGTCCTTGTTGTTTATTGGTCCAGTAGTGAGGATTTTTGTTTTCTTTATATTGAGATGCAATCCATACCTAAGGCTTTGGTCTTTGATCTTCACCAGTAAATCTTTTAAGTCCTCTTCACTTTCAGCAAGCAAGCTTGTATCATATGCATGTCGCAGGTGTTAATGAGTTTTCTAGCTTGGTATATTTTTTTCCATCCTTTGACTTTTAATCTGTTTTTGTCTTTTTGTGTAAGATGTTTCTCTTGAAGACAGCATATTGAAACATCTTGTTTTCTTATCTGTTCTGCCACATTCCGTCTTTTAACGGGTGTATTTAATCCATTTACACACAATGTAATTATTATTAGATATGGGGTAATTGCTGCTTTCTTTGTTCTTCATATCTTCTGAGTTCATGGTTTTTGTGTTCTATGTTGTGAGTTTCCTCCTAAGATTTTTAATGTTTTAAAGTTTCCACGTTCTTCTTGGATTTTCATTTTTTTGTTATGTTGTGAAGTGTTAATTTTCTTTGAGGTTATCTTATAGTCCATTAACTTTTCCCTCCATTTAGTTAAGTCTGTTTTATCCACTAATCTACCTGACCTTCTCACCGTCTAGATCCCTTTTCTTCAATGTTTACCTTCTTTCACCTTGTGTTTTGATCATAGACTGACCCGCCCAGATTCTCTTGAGTTTGTTCTTATAATTTTGTTCTGTTCTTGACTCTTCCATCTGTTGATTTAGTTCTGGAAGGTGCTGCCACATATGTCAGTCTCTGGTTGGTGTCTGTTCTTGTTGGTTCTCAGTCCACAGAGCTCCCTTTAGGATGTTTTGTAGCGCAGGGTTGGCTTTGGCAAAATCTCTTAGTTTCTGTTTATCCTGGAATCTTTTGATTATATCATCATAGTTGATTGACAGGTTTGTTTGATAAAGGATTCTTGGTTGGCAGTTTTTTTCTTTCAGGGTTTTATATATGTCTTCCCATTACCTTTGTGCCTGCATGGTTTCTGCTGAGACATCTGAGCTTAATCTGACTTGCTTGCCTTTGAATGTAACGTTTCTCTTTTCCCTAGCTGCTTTCTGGATTCTGTCCTCATCTTTGATTTTAGAGAGCTTGAGTATGATATTTCTTGGTGATTTTCTTTTGGGGTCTGCCCTTCCTGGGTTTGTTGAGCCTCTTGAATGCATACCTTTTTGGTTTTCAGGATGTTAGAGAAATTTCCTTCCAGCAGTTCTTCAACTATCTCCTCTGTGGGCTTGTGTGATTCTTCCTGTTCCGGAATGCTGATAATTGTTAAGGTATTCCAATTCATGTTGCCCAACATGAATCCTAGACATTCTTTAGATTTTTTTAATCCTTTTTTCTGCTTGTTCTTCTATCTTAGTGGTATTGAGAGATTTTTCTTCAAGCGAAGGGGGTGGTAGGCTGAGAAGGTGAATGTGAAGTTTTCCAGAGGAAGAAGGACAGAAAACCCAAGATGCTTGAGGAATTTGTCCAAAGTGGACTACTAAATAGAACTGAACCCCAAAGATCTGATTAGCAGGTGAAATTTTCTTAACTGCCTCTAAACCCTGCCTTTCCTTTCTACTAAATTCCCTTTGTTTAATTGCCCAGTTTTCTAACTTGAAAAAAAAAAAAAATATATATATATATATATTTTAAACTGTTTTCTATCAACTCATTGTCTGTACCCTTCTCTCTCTCTCTTTTCTCTAAAGCTTTTATTGTGACTTGAGTAATAGTATACATGGGAGAACATCAGTTTTGCATTCATCCTATCGTATTTTGTTTTAATGCAATGATTACAACCCCCTCCGTGCATCATCGTCTAACAGTATTTGCTTCTGTTCCCTCTGTTTTTTGTGGGTTTTTTTATGTACACAAAAACACTTCGGAATATATAATCATTTACACAACCAAAGGGCACATTCTGCAAGCCTGGCCACCAGCAAACAACCTTTCTCTTTCCATGAGTCTAGAGTCTTCAGTCGTCAGAGTGCTCTGTCTCTCCATGTCATCATCTCTGCCTCTATTTCTGGTGTCACTGCTTTTCTGTTTAGGTTCCCACATTTCGCTCATGCTCTTCTCCCTTGATGGTCCTGGGGTCTTCCTTTATATTATACAACTTCTACCTTTACAGTTGTGACAAGTCACAGTTAGTCATGATAACATTTATTCACTATTGAATTAATCGAATCCTATCCCCATCTCCTCTCCCAGACCTATTTAGACAAGATGAAAAGTATTCAATAGGGATTCTACGTCCTCCCGCACAGTCTGAAATTCAAGTCCTTGGAAATTTGTAAGCCAGCCACTTCATGCCTTTATTGCCCCCCATTTTAGGTAGCCAAGTCTAAGTTGCCCTTCCCTATCAACCCTGCATATTGAGGGTCTTGGCTTGATCATTGATGTGGACTCTTTTCCTCTCAGTTGGTATTTTGAGCTGCTACATCCATCAGTAAGGAGCTCTGGTAGCATAGGCTGCTAACCTGATGGTAATCAGTTCAAAAGAACCAGCAGTTCAATGGGAGAAAGATGAGGCTTTCTGCTCCCGTAAAGATTTATAGCCTCAGAAACCCTATACATGGTTGCTATGAGTTGGAACCGACTCCACAGCACACCACCACCACATCCATAACAATAGGTCAAGTTCATCAAATTATAGCAATTTATACTTGCTTCCTTCATCAATTTTTTTTTTTTTTTTTAACTTCCTCTGGTCATCGAGCCATTGAAGCCAGGTCAAATGGGTACTATAGGCAAGTTTGGTCATTCTTGTGCATCTCCCCCCACTTGGTATCAGCTGGACACTGCAAAATAAAAGACTTTACAATATCTAAGGTTATCATACAATATCACGTATATGTATCACAGACTGTAAGTCAGTACAGAACAAAGGTAGAGCTAAAGTGGTGAGCATTCTCTGAATTTTTGTAGCCAACAGAAAGGACCTTGGTGGCTTAAGCTTTGGTCCTCTAACCTAAAGGTCTAGGTTCACATCCACCAGCCTCTCCACAGGGGACAAAAAAAGATTTATAGTCTTGGAAACCCTATGGTTGCTATGAGTTGGAATCATATGAGTCAATGGCACTGATAGGTTGGTTTTGGTTTTTGGTAACCTATATAGAGTCCTATTGTGGCACCGTAGAGTAAGTACTGGACCGCAAGGTCGATTTGTACCACAAGGTGGTGGTTTAAACCCACCAGCTGCTCCTTGGAAACCCTATCCAGGGTCACTGCGTTGGAACTGACTAGAGAGCACTTAGCAACAACAACAACATACGGAAACAGACTGCCGTTCTTATTCATTGTAATCTCTTAACTTGCAGATTAGAAATATGGTTTCTAGTTGTATGTTCCTTAAACCAATATCTCCTGAGAGTCAAACAGTTTGAAGGACATACAGGTTTCTTAACTAGATTTAGATATCCCTGCCTGTCTATGTACCAGTACACTTTGGTATTTCACTGGTTTGTTACAAGAAAATTTCAACTCTAGAAATTCATGGAAGCATCCACTGGTGCTGATTTCAGGAGTTCTCACTTCTGCGAATGAGAAGATGTTGCTTTCTCGCTGCTTTAACCCTGCTGGTAGGCATTTTTCCTTTTGTCAACTTGGACTGGGACATGATGGAAATCTCTGACCGGATACCAGAGTTGCTAAACCAAACCAAACCAATGTATGATGTAGTTTTCTCTAGTGCTTGAACAAACTGAGGCCAGTAATAGTTTTCAGAGATGGGGTTCATCTCATCTTGGAACACTATGCTGTGTGCCCTCACCCCCTTGCCACAGTGACCCTGGCAGCAGAATGTTGGAGACAGTGTGCTTGGAGGAGGGCAAAGGCTGGAGAAAACGATCTACGGAATCTAGAGGCCACAGAGAGGCAGGCTCTGCAGGTTGTTAGGTGGGGATTGAATTGGGTAGCTGCTTCATAAGCAAGTAGTATGGTATGTACAGCCATTTTGTCCAGGGGAGTTGAGAGGCTCTCTCAAGTGACAGAATGAGAGTCAAGTTGCAGGAGCATCTTTTGATAGCATTTTTGTTTGTTGTAGTGCAATTTTCTCATGGGATTCACAGCTCATTTGTGAAAAAATACAAATAGCACCTTCCTTTGCCCAAAGATTGTATTTGGCTTTTAATTAAGTATATCTCATTGATTGAACAAATAGACTCAAAATTATGACAAAGTTTAAGTCAGTTTTAATAAAATACTAAGCTGCTTGGTTTGATGTGATATCTGCAATTGAGGTGTACATTTTATATTTAGGCAGAAAATGTATACAGAAGATATGGCCTTGGGAGTTTCAACTTTACCACCTCAGTGTGTGTCTTCTGACATAACTATTCATCCATACTCGTATTCTCCTTACACCCTTGAGTCTATACAGAAGGCTTGCTCAGTGCCTGGCTCTCAGTTTCAATACAACCAACGTTGTTACCGAGGTTTGCACAACGGTAAGCCCCGAAGTGAGCACAGCTGCCATCTTCCTCCAGAAATGGAAGGTTTTCCTAAGGTGAGTACATGCTGTGGGTTTTGTTGTGTGTGTGTTTTAATGTTTACAGTGAACATTTGGTAAATGTGTGAATAATATTTCAGCATTGCTTACCTTTTTTGTGAATTTTAAAGAATTGATATGATCTAACCTTTTATAGAATGGTTGAACTGCGAATACTTGTAAATTTGCAGTTAGGATTTAAATATATATATATATATATATATTTATGTGTGTGTTTGTGTTTAATACGGGTATTTTTCTTATTGTTTGTTATTTTTAATCTTTCCTGCAGAAAAAAACATATGATGAACCAAAGTTTGAGAGTAGACGGTCTGGTGGAACTATATCATCTGATGTAAAATCTGCTAGAGGTTCCCGTCATACATCGATTCATGGAAGAAACAGTTTGAAATCAGGTAAAAATAGCAGTCTCTACAGTGTTCGGTTAACCTCAGCCATCTACCACAGAGACGACACAGTTCTATGTAGGCTTGTTCCTGGTCATTGCTCTGAGCAGTGAGAGTGGGTAGTCAGGGATTTGAGGTCATCAGCCTCCTGTGCCATTCTGGAAGTCCTGTCTCTAGTTGTGTTGTGGATTTTGTAATATACCCTTAAAATGTACATCACGTAAAGCTCGTTTAACATTACACAGCAAGTATGTCGGTGATAACCTCGGATTTCAAATAAGGTCCTTGAAAAAGAAGAGCGTATATATGTGTGTGCGTGTGCGTATATGTATGTATACATATATATATGTGTGTGTGTGTTTTGTACTGTATTTAGTCATGTTCATTCCTGAAACAACTCATAATCAGTAGAAGGGAGAGTTTGTTGTTTAAATCCCATCCCAATCAATGCCAGAGCTGGTGCATTATAGTTACTCAGAAGACACTAGTTTTATTCATGCCAGAAGTTATGTTTGCTCTAGACTTGAAATCTGCTTTTCTAGTTTGGCTGAAAGGCATTGATTTTATAGGCTTCTGTTTTTCACTAGTGCAGTTTAATTACAGGCATCACCTATTTATATTATAACTTGAAACCTTGTAATCGTGTACTTACGGTGAATGGTCTACAACTTTATCTACAGGAATAACATATTACTTGGTGGATAAACTTTTTAAGAATAAACCATCTGGATCTGGTGCATGGAATTGTGAAAAGAAAGAGTTCTAGTTAATTGTAGTAACTCTGACCTTTTAATTAAATACAAAAGTTTTATGATGCTATAATCTACATCATCATGCCTTTGTATTTGAAGGAAAAAAATAGGGGAAAGTATATTAAGTTGAATTTATTTCCCTTCCTCCAGTTTATTCAACTGACAAAATAGGAAAATCTTACACACTTAAATGTATTGGAGTCTCTTTAAATGTACAAAACTTTAAAGTGTCTGTCTATCTACATCATGAAGTTGAGGTAGATATTTCATACATTGTAGAACTACATTTTGATTTTCTGCATGGTGGCCCCACCAGAGTGATTCATCCTTCTGGTCACTCATTCTTTATAGTATTACACAAAATAGCAACATCTTTAGCCATGGTTAGGATGTTTTCATGACAACCTGTTATTGCATAAAAGGAGACTTCTTATATATAATGTAAGTTTGAGGACAGGCCAACAAGCTATATCTAAATTTTGACACCTACTTTTGATTTTACAATTACAGATGTCTATCATAAACGAACAGACAGAAAGTCCAGAATCATTGAAAAAAGCGATGGATCTACCTCCAAGCCTGAGTTTGAATATACCAGGTTGGACTTTCCTGAACTTCAGGGTACACAGAACAATGGTATAATAGAAACACCAAAGCAACCCAAATGGGGCCCTTTGCGCTCTGCTACAACCGACATTTCTCTTCTAAGAGAAATAAAACCATCCGCCATATTGTCAGAGGTCAGTTGATGTTCATTCGCTTTCTTTCTCTTCCCTTTCTTTGACAATAATGGCTTGCAATATGCCTCAGATCTACCAGGTTGTGGCATTTTATGTCCACTGACCCCTACATCTTTATAAGAAGTCATTTTCTGGTTAAATTGCTATGAAAGAGGTGGGGCTGGTTAATCTGGAACAGCTGGTTTCATTGGACAGATGTTTGATTGTCTTTGTACCTGTTGTTGGCCTTGGGGTATGTGGGCTAGCAGAGCAGTCATGGAACTCCTCATGTCCTCATCAAGTAGTGGGGAGACTCAGATCACTCCAGAGTCAGTGAAAACTTAGTGCTCCTGAGCTTTCCAGGTTACGTGGGAGACATAGGCAGGGACATGAGTGGATGGGAGGAAGAATGACGTATTACGTGTGAGTGTTATATTGGATGTGAAATAAGCTATATAATGTTTATGTACGATGCACCATCCTGAATGTATAAGTATATAGTCTCCCTCTTTTATTGAATTTTGCCTTTTTTTAAAAAAATTTTGCTTCTGAAATAAACACCCAAATTTTTTTGCTACAAAATCTTAGAACCCTTTATTAAACAAAAATTTCAAAATGTAAACTTACTGACATATCTTCCATCTACACATCTCAAGGCAGTGTTTCCATCTCTCTAGCCTTTCTCCAAGGAATTCTGTGCTTTTCAGTTTACACCACATCAAAATTTTGAGGTTTGACAACCTCAAGGGACTTTTGGTGGCACTGTAAGATAAGCATTGAGCTGCTAACTGCAAGGTTGGCAGTTCAAACCCACAGCCACTGCTGAGGAGAAAGATGAGTCTGTCCGTTCCTGTAAAGATTTATAGCCTTGGAACCATAGACTGGACTTTATTGGGTTACTGTGAGTCAGAATCAATTTGATGGCAGTGTTTTTGAAAGAGCACAAATTGTGTTTCTTTGAAATGTTCTTAGAGTTTTGGGAACAAAAACAATCTGAAGAGGCAAGTCTGAAGGGGCAAGATCAGGGCTGCAGGGTGTGTATAGTAAGGTTTCCTCACACAATTCTCGTAGGACAGTCCTTACTACTCTCAAAGAATAGGCAGCTGCATTGTTATGATAGAAAAAATTCTTCGAAATAACTTTTCCTGACCTTTTTCTCACCATTTCAGTTTTCCATTTTCTTAAAATTTCTCCTTGGTAAGACTCCACAATCATCCTTTATCCTGCGAGAAAATTCATCAAGAATTACCCCTTTGGGATCTCAAAAAATTGTCACCATAACCCAAGCTGATCTCGCTGCCTTAATTTTAAGGTGGATGAGCAGATTCCCTCAGAAGCCACTGTTTTGGTTGGACTTTGTTCTCTGGATTGTATTAGTAAATCCAAGACTTACCCCAGTTATGATTCCATAACATTTTCTTCATTTGCTTCTATCTTAACCAAAAGGCTGATGCTGAAAGTCAGCTCCATGCAACACTTAAACTTACAGAATCTATTCAACTGAATGATGACTGTGGGAAGGATGGTCTCAAAATTGAAAATGTTGAACTGTGTGAGATCCCAACTTTAGGAGCTGTTGTGTCAGTGGTAATTCGATGATCTTTTTACACTGGTTTCTGGACTTCAGCCACCATCTTTATTTTTGTTAAGATTGATTATCTTCTCTTGGTTCAGCTTTGAGGTCTTCCTCCCAACCTTGCTTAAAATGCTTGGTACATCTAAAAAATGTGGTTTTATGAGGGATAGCGTTTGTATTAACTTATTATAAACCTTCAATGACTTGGGTAAATGATTACTTGAATTTCATTTAAAATTTGATATTAACCCTGTTCTCAAAATAATTTTTTTCCATGGCACAGGTGTTTTTTGTTGAAAACACCCTCACAAGACTAAGACAAGTATATGATTAAGAGAACTTGTCTGCAGCCATCCATTCCTCATGTTGTTGTTGTTACGTGCTGTAGAGTCAATTCTGACTCATAGTGAGTCTGTATAGAGTTTCTGAGGAGTGACTGGTGATTTTGAACTGCCGACCTTGAGGTTCAAACCAACCTTGAGGTCGAGTGCTAATCTTTTTTTTTTTTTTTAAAGTTTATATTGTGAATTATGTGTTAGTTTACATGGGTGAACATTATCTTTTCATTCATCCTGTCGTATTTTGTTTCATTGCAATGATCATAATACCCTGCATGCATCATCAAACAACCAAAGGGTACATGCTTGCCCCCCGGCTGCCAGCACACAGCCCCTCTTCCTTCCTAAGTTGAGTCCCCAGCCATTCCTTTCTGCCTTCATCCCTAGTGTCACTGCCTTCCCGGACAAGGTCTCGTACTTCGCTTTTCTGCTTTGATGGTTCCAGGGATCTCCGCTCCTGGACTGCAAAATCAGCCATTGTCCTCCTTTTGTTACCAAACATTTACATTTACCTTTCCAACACTCACTGTCAGACCTGATAGCAGTCATTCCCTGTTGAACCACAGGAGTCCTTTCCCCCTCACCTTTTATCAACCCCATCCAGACAGATTGGAAAAAATTCAGTGGAGGTTCTACCTTTCCCTGTATCCTTTGGAGCTAGGTTCCCTATTGAAAGCTTGTAAGCCAGTCATTTCTTGCCTTTGTGGTCCCCCCATTTTGGGTAGCCAGTGTCTAAGTTCTCCATCCCTGTCGACCCTGTGTACCATGTGGTTGGGAATGATCCTCACTATAGAGAATGTCTGCTCCTTTGTCATACTGCATCCACAAGCATAGGTCAAGTTCATCCACTTATAGTGGGTTACTCCTTTTTTTTTCTTCTTTTCTTCTTTCTTCCTCTAGTTGTGTTTTGATCATCCAGCCATTGATGCCAGGTCAAATAGGTACTATCTGAAAGTGTGGGTGTTCTTGTGCGTCTCCTCTCACTTTATATCAGCTGATGCTTCACACTCCTTTCTAGTCCTCTAGGGCAATGTCTCTGCCCCTAGGTCCAGGAGTCCCCAGGTCACGTCATACTGCTGGTTAACCAGGTCTCAATCCAGGTTAACAGGAGTCTATTGAATGTGGTCGGACTTTGTTCACAACTTCATTGCTGTTATTCCCCCACCTCCCCTTATCGGCGACCAACGTGGTCTGCAGCAGGACCATATGCCTGCTAGTGTATACCATTTGAGTTTCAGTCTTAGGAGGGTGTTTGCCTTGAGGGGACCTGACCACTTGCCTTGATGGCTCCCTGGGGAACAACTTGCTTGTTCTTGCAGTAGTCAGTTGGACTGCTGTTACTGTTTATGATTTTTCCTTCTGCTCTTTCTTTCAAGAAATATATTCTGTTCTTCTAGCTGCTCCAGACTGGTCTGCTTGTCCTTTCAAGTGGAAATGTCCCACCTCAGAAGATTCTGGATGGGAATCAGGATTCCACCTATGGTCTTGTGCACTGCAGAGGCTCCAAAGGAAGCCTCCTTAACTGGGCAAGTTCTAGCCCCATTTTAGGTATTCCAGTTGAGTCAGCGGCACTTCACAACAACAACAACAATCAGTTATAGGCTGAAGACGGATTTACAAGCTTTCTGTGGTGGTGTTTCTGGCTATTCCTCTCTCTCCCATTCAAGTGTCTATTTTACAATAGTGGGCAAGGGAATCCAAGATTCAAAAAACAGCCAAGCATCTTAACATCATTTCCCCACTTTTACCCATTCAAACCATGCCTCAATCTTTGTATCCACAAGCTCTGTTTCATGTTTGTGCTTATGTCGTTCTTTACCTCTGTCCTATTTAGCCCATGTAAACCTGCCTAGCTATTCTCCCATCTGCCTTATTTTTCCTTTCCCATTCCCCTTCTAGTGTATGCATCCACCAGCACCCAAACTATCCTGTGTCTCTTCCATACCCTGTACTTCATTATTGTCGGGGTGTGCCCTCGACATAGTTGTGTTGTTCACGAGTGTTTGGTTCACGAGGAGGGTAGATCGAGCGGCGATAGGGATAGCGAAAGAATACACAGACAAACAGAAGAAGGGAGACAATGAGGCACCCCAAAGCCAGGGTGGATGCATCACACTGGTGGGCAGATTTGGGAGTATAGGCATCATGGCCTCTGCAGGCAGCAACTCACTGCCCTGCAATCTTTACTGCATGCCTTCCAACCAGTAATGCACAGCTGGGGAGGCTCGGGGCTCTGCTTTATTCAGGGGAGGAGCTTCACATCAAGCTGAGAGGGACCTTTACAGAAGAAGAATGGTATTATTCAGACAAGACAATCTTTAAAATAAGTTAAGCCAGTAAACCTTACTTAAACCAATATTCCTTTCTTCCTTACTGGGTTTAACCTTCACTTGGATCAAACTGATTGAACCCAGGGTGGTCAGAGGGCGTTGCCCCCTTTGTCCTTAGTCCCATATTCCCAGAATTTACTGCTCCACCCCAAGTGAATATACCCCGGGCAGTTCCTCTCCAGAGCCTCCCTGCTTAATCCCAGTAAACCTGTCCTTGTTCATCCTCTGAGGAAGTTTTACTGCCTTGATTCTAGGGGGAAAATCTTAACCTTAGAAACTTAGGGGAATATTGCATTTTTCTTGTGGACATCCAGGGCTCATGTTTGGAATTAAATAAATATAACTGAACACTAAGATGAAAAACAATTTGCTATTAACCGCCAAGTGGCTAGATCTGTTACACTCGGGCCTATAGGGCCTCGAACCTCTGCACGGTCTACAACACATTATCTTGTGCTTATTCCCTACCCTGTGCTCCACCTTCCTCTCCCTCCCCTTCACCCCACCCCATACACCCCAGTAACCAACAAAAACGTAAAAAACAATAATAGTAAAATAAAAGATAAAATTTTCCCCTCCTTTTAGTGTGGGTGTTTTTACTTAGTCTTTCACAATAATGCACCTATGCCATATTTCTCCTTTTGTGACTGACTGATTTCACTCAGCATAATGTCCTCAGGTTCATCCATGTTATACGGTGGCTTGCTGCTTGTTTTTCTTTAGGGTAGCATAATATTTCATTGTGTGTATGTACCAAAGTTTGTTTATCCATTCTTC